GGTGTGGCTTGTGTAATGTAGATGGATCAAGTGTATTGATTGATTATATAACAGCAAATAATGCATTTATTATTAAAGAAAAAGTCAATATTACCGCAAATGTTCTTCATGCACTTGATATTCAAAGTAACTCACGTGCTGACTTTATTGACCGTTATATTCAACCTGCAGATCAAGAATATTGTCGTCTATTGGCTGGATTACCCGGTACTCAACTTTATGATAATATGCAACAAGGACGTGCAGAATATTGGCGAGTTGTATTCCGAAAGAAGATAGCAACCATTACATCTCTTATTTAACAATAACATTTACTCTTTTTTTTTAACTAACCCGAATATTTTTACTTACTAGATAACCGTATTTTACTCCAGCCTTTTTCAATATTTTGCTTTTTTTAATAATAAATAAACAAAAAATTAAAATATTCATTTCAGCATCAATCTCAACACATTTAATTTAAATCAATATAAAATTTTTGTATTCGATGATTGACACAATCGACAACATACAGATTACCTTCAACATCGAATGATAAACCTTTGGGACAATTGAACTGATTTGGTTGTTCTCCTTGTCCATTTCCACCAATAACAATAGTACCTTCTTCATCTCCTTCACACCAACGCATTACTCGTTCATTACCACCGTCAGCCACATAAACATTACCCAAATGATCGACAATCACTCCTCGAGGAGTAGACAATTGTGTCAAACTATTTCCTTGATCATTTCCACCAGCAACAACAATACCTTCTTTTGCATCTTTCATCCATTTTATTACACAATGATTGTTTGTATCCGATACATAAAGTGAACGATCTTCATCAACAAAAATATAAGTAGGCCAATTGAGTTGATTGAGGTGATTCCCATTTCTAATTCCACCTGCTACTGTTATTCCTTTTCTCTCTCCTTGTTTCCATCGTTTCACTTCATTCTTCTTCCAATCAGAGACATAAAGATCTCCATTCTTATCCATTCTCAAACCTCGGCAGTTAATGTCAGAAATTATTGTTTCTCCATTTGTACCATTTTGAAGAGACCATCGTACAACTCGTCTGTTTCCACCATCACAAATGATGAGAGAATCATTCTTTTTATCAACAATCACATCTCTTGGATAATTCAATTGATCACTTTGATTTCCTTTTCCATTTCCACCTGCAACAACTTGACCATTCTGTGCTCCATATTTCCATTCAACAATACGATGATTACTATGATCAGCAATATAAATAGTTTGATGATCATCATCAACATAGATGGCATAAGGATAAGACAATTGATTTAGTTGATTGCCTTTTCCATTTCCTCCAGCAATATTAATTCCATGTTGTTTCCATTTGGTGTTGATATTAATATGATTGACAAGAGTGGATTGTCCTAGAAGAAAAAAGGTTTTGTTTATATTTGAATGAAATGGATGAATAAATATGAATAAAAAAAAGTGTTATTCTAAAATGTAATAAAATAAAAATGAAATGAAATTCAGTGATGTTTGTTGATATAAATCTATGTTAAGATAATAATTTACTATGAATGATATTCATTATTGTAAATTCAATTCGAATGAGACAAACAGAATGAAGATATTTGAAAGAGAATATTTTATTCTTTTAAATTTTCTAATTTTTTTTTCCTATAAAATTAGAAATTTTATTTCAATAAACTTACTGATAGAATTGTTTGTTTTATTAATATTGGGATGGATAGTTAATTGATGTGGCTTTTTGGATACGAATAGTTTTTGACGATTAAATTTACTAATAGAACCGTTTGTTTTATTAACATTAACATTAGTAGCTAATGGATTTTCCTCTCTGAATGTAAGTAACTTTTGACGCCATTTCATACTCATATCATAATCACCTCTCTGTGATGCCAGTTTACCAAGATCCTCATATAAACTGATATGTAATGGATCATTCGATGGAAGTTGTTTCAATGAACGAGTAAAATATTTTTCAGCTAAATCAAATTTACCCATTTCCCATAATATATTTCCTAATATTCGAAGATTCACTTCACCACTTTCGATTTGCTCTTTCATATACATAAGAACTTGTTTTAAATCATGTTCATCATCATTACATAAAGTCATTTTAATGATCCATATTTGATCATCATTACGATTAATATTATTAAGACGAAAAATGGAACCAATCATAAAGAGAACTTCTGATTCATCTGGAAAATAACTATGTTCACTAATATCAGCAAATGGTTTTGTAGTGACCGATTTAGGATCAGCATCAATTTCAAATAATACTCGTTCTAAATCACTCTTTGTAGTTATATCACCTAGGAGGAAAAGAGCTGTTGTACGTTGTTTGCTAGTGGAAAACATTGAATTTATAGAGATAAACTGGCCAGTATTATTTTTAAGACCATCTAACTCATCGATCGACATTAGTTGACTTCGATAAACTTCCAAAGGATGTTTAGATTGAGATTTTTGCAGTTGACGATAAATATCATAAATAAATGATCGAAATAAAAAAATCATATGAATATTTTGTGTACGTAAAGCTGCATTAAGAGTTTTATAAAAGAATGTTTCTCTTGTGTACCACCACAACACTTTATTAGGGGAATATTCTTCTTCAAATTCATGAAGATTGTTTAGTTCAGTAAGATTACCTGCATATTCATTTTGACAACAATTAAAAAGTTCATTTCTGTCAATTTCATTAGATTTTAATCGTAAAAGACAATCAATGAGAATTTGAAAAAAAACAAATTGTCCATTAACTCCTGTTGTTGATTTCCCTGCATCAACACTTGTTGTAAAAGTATAAATTGGTAATGGTTCTTCTACCTTTTTCTGAATTTTATGATCTACTTTCATTTGAGAGACAAGTTCATCAAGATCAATAACAACAGACTTGACCTATGAAAAAATGATAAAATGAAATAACAATCTTTTAGCATAGTTTTACTTTTGAAAATTTCAGAGCCCATTGTTCATTATTCTTCTTATCCATACAATAGACATAAATTGATATAACTTGTCGAAGTTGATGAATGTGTGGTACTATTTCTTGTCCTAATCGACCACTAACGATAATTACTAATCGATCTTTTTGTGATGTTTGTTCAATATATTGTTGACATTGTTTTATATCTTGAAATTTCTTAATATGATTAATGATAGAACGTAATTTTACTTCTGTTTCTCGAGTGTCTTTAACGTTTACATTTGAATCGAGCCAAATAAGTGAGAATATTTCCAGAGACTTATCATTGGTATTTGTGTGAAAATCATCATTTGGCAACGCAGCAGTGGCCATCTTAGTTTAAAAGACTAAACATAGCACAGAGTTCTCAAATGTTATGTGTTTTTTATAGTCAAAAAAATAAGGGAACATTTTCTCTATTATTGTTTTGTTTATTTATGATATTCACATGTCAGTTTTTTCAAACTTTGATGTAAATCAAAAGAATAAAAGAATAAAATGCTATTATTGATTAAAGAAAATGCCACCCTCTACATGTAATGCCATCATTCAGTGGAAGGATGGATCGATCAAAGACATTTGATCAAAGTGCAAATCGTGATAGAGAAAAAAAGAACAACAGTCAGGGTCTTAATCCCTCGAACGACTCTGTATTTGCATGTTTGTTCACATAAATACGTAAATAATATTTCTGAATGTAATTAATAAGAATATTTATGTATACAACATAAATAATAATATTGTCTGATATTAACGTACCTTAGAAAACGAAGCGAGAATCAACAAACTATTTGTAAATAGTTGGTTAGGAAGACGAAAAATGAGTGGATTAAGTAAAAAGAAATCTTTTATCTGCGCGATGCTTTTCTCTGTTCTTTGTATTTGTCTGTAACTGCGCAAAGTAATTCTTGTTAGGGGTATTACTTTGTCTTTATTTTATTTTATAAATATAGAGGTT